ATATGTATGGTCAAAGATCTAATAAAAGCGCAAAGCCAAATGCTTCAAACCCTGATGACTAAAAAAGGAGTGAGCTCGGGATTTGTTTATGGAATGCAAATGGTGCAAGCCAGTATAAATTGGCACTCAAATTATTTTACAGATTCACTAAATTGATATGATGCTTTTATCCGAAACCTGGGTTTAAGTTGTATAATACTAATCACCCAGATGGCAAAGCACATAGTGGTACGGCTATACTCATTATGAACCGCATAAACCACAGCTTTCTTTACCCTTTCTCAATAAATTGGTTGCAGTCAACTTCGATCACTCCGCCACGCTTCATAATAAAAGAAAAACAATTTATCGAGTTTTTAAAGACTCTGGCATAGGACTTAGACTAGAGTTTAGTATTTGCAGAAAATTGTGCTGACTTTTCTTCTGATTATTCCTCAATAATCATTAATTTGACCGAACAACCAACTGAAAATGAGAATGTTTTTCGACTTCCTACGTTCAGAACTAACTGGCTTAAATATAAAAACTACATAAGCAGTCATATACAGACCGATCCGGAAATACAGACGACGAGTTACTTGTGTTTAACACTACGCTGGCAACAGCAGCAACCATAGCAACACCAGAGCAGGAAACAAAACCAGAAACCAGAACATAGATAACTAATAGTGAAGAAGAGTTATTGGTCCGAAACAAGCGACGCTTGCGTCGTGAATGGCAAGCCCTCCGGTCGTCCGATGCAAATATCAGACTAAATATGGCAGAGATAAGAGCTAAAAATGGCATTGTTATACGAAGAGAAAAGAAATATAGAAAATTGCATAACATCTTTGTCTCCCAACGCTTCTACCAAAAAATCGCTTTGGAAAGCTAACAAAAACCTTAAACCGCCTGTAAGTACCGAAGCACCGCTGAGACTACATAATGGTTCATAGGCCAGAACGTATGAAGAAAAGGCCTCTTGTTTTGCAGAGCACCTGAGTACATTATTTCAACCAAATACTGATACAAACAGTGCACCTTTGTCACCGAACCATCCTGCTCTTAGTTACCGTTACTGAAATAAAAAACATTATTACCGCATTAAATCCCTAAAAATCTCCAGGAGACGATCATATCTCACTTAAAACACTTAAAGAATTGCCAAGCATTGCTCTCGTTTTTCTTGTAGAGATTTTCAGTGTCATTTTAATGTTAGGATATAATCCACAAATATAGAAAAAGTCAGACAGATAATTACGATAGCTATACTAGGTAAAGACGTAATCCTGCCGTCAACACATAGACCAATCAGCCTGTTGCCTTATCTTTAACCAACAGCCGATTTACTGTAAAAGTAAATGATCACCTAACAGAAGAGTATCCAATCACGGCAGGTGTTCACGGTTAGTATTCTTTGACCAATATAGTATATTTTGTTCACCGCAGATATTCCTAGAAGTGACAAGTAATGACGCCAACTTTTGCGGATGATATTGCTATAATAAGTCGACATAAGTGTCCCAATACAGCCACAAAACTAATTGAAGAATGGCTAGCAAAAAGGCCAAAAATGTGCCCCATCGTCAAGTTCAACGATGTGCCTTTCCCAGAAGCTAACGAAATCATATACCTTGGCATCCAATTGGATAGACACCTAACTTAGAAGCGACACACTTCTGCCAAAAAGATGCGGCTGAAGCTTAAATTTTTCAGTTTATATTGGCTCAACCTTGAAAACGAAGTCCTTCTTCACAATGCTACTATAAAACCATATGAATGTATGGAATCCAGTTACAGGGAACAGCTTGCGTGACCAATCTAGATATAATACAAAGATTTCAATTGAAAACATTATGAATAATAACAGGCTCACCATGGTAAATTCGTAATAAAAATATCCACAGAGATCTAAGCATACATAGAATCAATGAAGATATTGAAATCGTTAAACAAAAGTACAATGTAATACTTCATCATTATGCGAACACTTTGGCTATCCCCTTGGCCTCCGCAACAAGTCAAACACGCCTGAAGATAAGGGACTTACTACCTTTGTGAAGAGTGACATTGAGACAGCAGCCCATTCCTAGCTAATGTGCTAGTATATTTTAATTTAGTTTTTAAGATCTGACAACTTATTCTGAGGCTTCTGATACAGATTCAATAAATATATACAAATGTAAAAAAAAATTTGTATATTCTATAAGTGGCTAAGCTGAGGTAGTTGACCGTTCCCTTTCCCCTTCCCATTTTTCAGGTCACCGAAAGGTGACTAAAGAACAACATGACATGCCGAAACAAAATTTAACCTCGGATTTCTGCACGTGAAAAAAGGCAGCCGTTGGACACGGCGCAAAGAGAACGTCAACACGCCTACACGGCCAACCTCTCGATCAAAACACTTTGGTCTTCGAGACTAGCGGGGGCCAATGCTAAGAGGGAAAACAACATCCACCAGATGGAAAGAAGCCGACGCCCCTCGAGGGTAAAGAAAATATCCCAGCTGGGTCCAGGAGGCCCGTCTTGACAGTCCCGCACAGTGCAAACACTACAAGGGAGAGGGGCCAGCGCAAAACTTTTCACCGGAAAGGCGCCCTGCACCAATCCGCTGAATTCCGCTAAATCGTTTGGAGCAACAGGAACAGGTGATCTAGATCAACACCCTTGCTGCTCCAAAACCATTAGGCCCTCCGTTGCCAAAGAGCACATAAAGTTAGGCGTGTAGACAGGGAGCACCCGGACGGGCACATTTCTCCGGATAACTGGAAAACTGCAACGTATACAAGGATATACTTCAAAAAAAAAACCATTGCCCTTCACCCGTAGTACGCGAGAAAGGGTATCTTAAAGGTCGCATAAAGCTTATGTCGTGTGCAGACTATAGAGCGGTAAGACTCTACAAGGAGACTATCGCTGAAGTTGGAGAGCTCTGGCCTGGGACAGACTTGGTGGCGTTGCACAGGTAGGAGCCTGAGCTTGGGTGCCAGCAGAGCCCTCCAATCTTAGAGATATCTTAACGCTCAACCGATTGGGCAATGAGATTTTACTCCATCACCCTAAAGGTCCACAAGAAGGATGAGAGGTCAATCAAGGAAGGAGAGAGCGCCACGAGCGGGTCAACCAACCTAACAGCTTCCAAAAAAGTGGCTCCCACTGATCCGGATATCGCCTTGAGCGAATGGGATGATGGAACCTTTCCAAAGGAAGATACGAGATGGCTGGTACCCACCGAAGACGAAGACGATCCGACGGAAGGAGTCCGCACCAGCTCAGATGCTGAAAGTGAAACGCTCTCGGTATCTGAATAAGTTGGTGCGGTACTGGGAAACTATGTAGGAGGACCAGCTTTTGGACTCTGACACCGAAGGGGAGGATATCGACGTCACAGACATAACCTTCGCCTAGGCAGAGAAAACCAAACCCATGGATCTATAAGATTCTCAAAATGGTGCAGACTCTTCAGATTAATCTGCACCACTCCAAGACAGCATCAGTTGCCCTTATTTGCGACTCTGTGAAAAAGAGGTGGTCGTAATCTTAGTTCAAGAACCCTGGGTAGTTGGAAACAGAATTTGCGGACTGACACCTGATACCCACCAAATGGAATCCGCACCAGGAAAAGGTAGGCTTAGAACTTTTGTCCTTGTTAAGAAAAACATCTCTTATTTTCTTTTCTCTCTACACAGCGACGCAGACAGAGTCACCATCGTAATAAAACGGCTGGAGAAGCGCTTGTACTCTCGTCGTACACCACCTGCGGGTTAGGGGTTCAAGAATTTACCAGCGGTAAGTCATGCCTGTTCAAGAATTTACCCCGCGACAGTCGGGTCTTTATACCGGAACGACCCGGACTTTTATTCGGCCAAGGCCTGCCATTTCTGCCATATTTTTACGGTTACTACAACAACAATAACACTCGCGTTGAACTTCCCGCATTACGATACTCTGCCACCAGTCCGCCTTCAAGAAGCTATAGAGGAGGCGAATCGAAATTAAGCTTCCAATAGTAGTTGAAGCCGATGCTAACTGTCACCACACAGTCTCAGGTACCAGTGACACAAACATCCGAGGTGATTCCCTACTTGATTTTATATTACGCAATGGGAACAAAGCCACTCTTACAACCTCGTTTAGGAACGAAGCTCTAGACATTTCATTAGTTTCAAACTCTTTTTCTGACTTGCTCAGAAACTGATATGTAGTCCTTCTCTAACCATCTATACATTACTTTTCAACTCATCAAAAGTATTACACTGAAATATGCAAGAGCTAAAGAAAACCCTATTGCAAAACTTTTGCATATTTTATAGTAAACGACATAGCTGATTTGAAGTGTCGAATTGCGAATGAAGAGATGTTTTGAATTTGTTGTTTAAAACGCCGCGTATCTCCGAAAAAAAAATTAATTGATTTTATTATTGGAGCAGCTGCTTTAGATATTCTACATACTGATGTACTCTTGTATGCATTTTCTTTGCTACACTTCATTGCAGAAAATAAACACGGTTTCAGTCGTAGCATATTTCGCAATTATGTATAAAATTTTTAGCGTGTGTTGTTGTGGTATTGCAAGGATTGGATATTTACGCAATCCGCCATCGTTATGCAAGGTCAAGGGAATCCCCCATGTTAGTTAGTTGCTTTTCATAAAATATGGAATACTCTTCATTTAAGTTATTTATAGTTAATAGAGATTTAAAATATTTTGACTGTTATAATATTTTTGGGATAAGATTTATTAGCAAAATATTAAATGCGAATTCTTAGTTATATGTATGTACTTATGTATAACTGAAAACCTTTACAGCAATATTCGCTTGGAGCAGTCAAATGTCAAATGTCAAATACAGCCGTTTAGTATTACTAGAAATACAAATCAATACAGAATCTTTGTTTGGTTCAAATGAACCCTTACTGTTGTTTGGGCAGGTTGTATTTCTATATATTTCTCGCTTAGAAATTGTGTATTTAAATAAAAGTCGTAAAAGCAAATGGTAGTATCATTATCTTATTTTCAGGGTATTCGGACAGAAAGTTTAAAATTAGTCATTTGACATGTATCGGTAAGTATAGAAATGTGCTGCCAAATCTTGTTTAAAGTAGATTCCGAAAAATTGTACGCGTGAACAGGCCACTATTTAAATAAGTTTTCAAACAAATTAAGGACGACAAAGTAGAGAGAGAGCTCCTTTCTGGTGTTAGTGAAGGCGGTGCCACACAGGTGTTGGTTGTGATTTCGGTAATGAAGTAAAAGTTTTATATTCGCAGCTTATAGCAACCAAAATATTTAAGTCATTTCTAAATTCGAAAGAAAAATTTTTGTACTTACCACACATTGAAGAGCGTATACGTTTGTTGCTGGAACATTAGGTGAACTACCTCACTGTTTCGATTAGATGGGTGGAGCGGAGATCAAACTGGCCCAAAACCGATTGAAGATCCCTTGACGTATTGTTCGCAAATATACATACATATATTCCATAAAAGATCTATAAGTCTTCGACCATGTATCCGTATCATCGATAGGGGACTTTACTATTCAATTGCCTACTCAGTCCGAAGTTGCACTTGTTGGCGAGAATGATTCTGTTTGTTTGATGACTAAAGATATTTCGCCTTGTCTTCGTTTACTATCAGACCCTTATATGGCCCTATATATATTTCGTTATTGTCTTAAAGTTTCGCTTACCGCAATAATTTCCGTCCCTTTCAAACAAATTTCTGAAAAAGTCTACCCCCTTGAGTCCACCCCACCCAAAGAGCGGAAAGCACCAAGAAATATTACTAATAATTACAACTTTATAATATAGAATTTTATTATCGTAAATATATGTATGTATGTACATAAATATGCAGGCAAATTTATACAGTTTCTACAAAAATTGAAGGCAGTTCCAATCAAAAAATTTTTGGAATTTCCTGAATTGTGAAATTCAGCTTTGTCTTATCATATCATTATGAATAATAGATGAATATAAATAAAATATCCAAGAAATGAAAATAACTAGTCCTGAGTAAGTTGTAGGTTTTGGTATGTAGTTACAATCTTTAGTGATTTCACTGATTAACGATTTGTTATAGAGATTATATGATTTAAGTGAGTGAGAAATATATGTAAACGCGAAAGTTAATAGTTCTAAGTTTTTATGAAAAGGTTATTTTTCTAGAGAACAAAATTTGCCATATTTCTAATTTTTTCCTAACCAACGAATTCTAGAATTAATTTTAAATTCTTTATGCATATTGTTTTAATAATAACAGTTTTTCATAAAGATCATGAACGCCTTTATTAATTACAGAGATAAGAAATTCATCTGAACTAGCTCCAGAGGGAAGATAAATTTACAAAAATCTTGACTGTCTGATTGTAGCCAACAAGAACTGATGTCAGTAAATTAAACTACCTTCAATTTTTTGTATCATGGCAATTATCAATGGACTCGTATCACATTAGTTATTTCTTCCGTTACGGTTGTGTTCTCTTTTAATTCCTTGTCAGATATTTTCATCGTATTCTACAAATGAAAATTTTAAAAAATTTATTAAGAAGTTGCAAATTATCGGTAAAATTAAAAATTACATTATAGCACATTTCTGCAATGGTTTGATCCAGGACACGAGCTTTGTTCTCTAAATCGGATACCTAGAACAAAGAAAACAAGATGTTGATTTTAATTAGAATATGGAAATGTTAATGCAAATACATTCATACATGTGTACATATTTTCTATGTTATACTTGGTATTTATATAGGAATTTTCTTAATATTTATAAATATGAAGCAAATGGAACTCTAAGTAGAAGATTTCAGAAAAAATTGATGGAAAAGGTCCCAGGACCACTACTCTTCATATTAACCAGGATAGAGGTCTATATTCTTCTTCTATGACACCGCTTACGCGGTTACAGTTGAGATGCATCAGCGCTCCATCCATCTTTTTGCTGTCTGGCGTCAATTGGAAATACCAAGTACAGCCCGATCTTTATCCACCTGATGTTTCTAACGTAGGGGTGGTATTCCTCTCCCTTTACTTCCACCGGCGGGTACTGCATCGAGAACTTTCAAAGCTATTGTATTTTTAAATTAAGCAGGCGATAGCTATTCAAACTTCTGTATAAATAGGGGAACCGATTTCACTACCTCCTGGTGTTCCATTTTCACTGCTATTTAGCCATAGTAACTTTTCCTCATAAATAAAAGATTTAATTCAGGGCATTAGTCAATAGTCTTAAATTCTCGGTATCCATCCCACCCGCAAGGTATCATTTTATCCACCCTGGCGTTAAGATCACCAATCAACATTTTCACATCGTGGTGGGACAACAATTATAAGTTCGCTCCAGGCGGTAATAATAGCCACCGTTAGCATAATCTTTCTGTCGGGACGTTGGCGTGAATCAACGATGTTTTGAAAAATTTAGTGTCGATGCGGATTGCGGCGAGACGTTCATCTACCGGAGTAAATTCCAGTACTCTATGGCAGGAGTCTCACTCTCACCACGAATCCGATAACAAATTTGTGTTGCTTTATACGGCCACTGTGGTAAATGTGACTAGAACCTTTTAGCCTCTGTTCATCGCACTTCTTTGACAGTGGTGATGTCAGCCTTCAGTCTCGCGGGGGCCTCAACCAGATAGACAGTGGCACCTTCCCAATTAAAGAATGGGCCATTTCAGATGAAGCTCTTGAATCCGAGACCTCAAAACTTTGGTAGTGGTCGTCATTAAAAGAGAGGCACCTCATTCGGGGTGGTTGTTTCGATAGGCATGTAGGCTTAATTTTTTTTTTACAAATTTATATATCAAAATGCTTGCTTCAAGACGGACGGCGGACCTCAGGTGAACTGACTTTGCAATTAGACTTTGGCGGACCTTTAACCCGTATATTTCGGAGTGGATCCACCGAAACTTCCTTTCTTTTTGTCGTGACCCAAGAGTCCATACGGTTATGTTACATCATCTTTCACAATGCTTGAACACGTTTCCACGACGTGTGACGTGGATAAAAGAGTAAAAAAAGTCGAGTATACTTGGTTCGCTTCTCAGAAAGAAAAGTTTTTCACATATTATCCCCTCGACTGGGCTTTTTATGTACCAAGTCTCAACCAAATCGGACTAGACACATGATTATTAAAAGCCTTTTCTCCGAGGTAACCTATATAATGGGTAACTGGTTCAAATAAACTATTTGATCTTAAGACATTTGAGTTGAAAGATTACCGCTCGACTGACTTTGGCCAAAACTTCAAGAAAAGCCACTGATCTAGAAGATATACTTTTCTGCTAAAATACAGCATCTTAAAGTGAAAACCGCCAGTCTAACTTGGTTGTTGTTGTTGTTTTGGTAAGGATTCTCCAACCCCGCTTATGAACAGGCTAGTTAGTCTAAGTCATCGAGATTATCTAAGGAGAGGTCTAGAAGATAAGCAAACAGTTCGGCGAGTTCGGACAAGACAAGCTCGGACCAGAGGGAGAGGGGCAAATATAGAGCAATGATGGCATATGAAATCAGAGAAACCCCTTTTGGTGGGGGAGGAAGCTTCGAGATGTAGAAGTTAAACAATAATGGGGAGAGGGCACAGCTGGTGTAACCTTTCCAGACTTAAATGAGGGTTCCTCAATATCGGAGAGTTGCCACTTTTGACAGGTCCATCGCTACCAGGACAGTTCGCGCACAGGGCCGGTTTTGGTTGAGACCCTTAACTGTCTGAGTGTTTATGGCGCTGCATGCTGTTGTGGTACTGTGAAAGTCGGGAGTAGCAAAGGTCCCAAGAGTTTTCACTGCTAGGGAGAGGAGAGACATTGGCCGATAGAACTCTCCTCTGTTGGCGGGCTTCCACGGTTCGAGTAAAGGGACCGCCCTACCAATATTCCACGCATCGGATATATTTAGTTTATCAATGACAAGTTGAGGATCCTGATAAGGAAACCTTTTCCAGCTGAGCCTAGATACTTTTGCATGCTTATTCCCACGGGGCCGATGGATCTGGAAGTTTTCGCCTTCGCCATGATTCCTTTCCTGGAGAAATCAAGCGTCGCGCTGGTGTTTAGTCACTTCTTGCTTCGTTTTGTCAACATAAAGGTGCGGTGTAAAAAGTTGGTTCACGAAACCAAAGTCGGGAGGTCTCTTAATCGAGAATGGAGTGGGAAGTGGTCTAGTGCTACTGTCAGCATAGGTCCAAAGCTATGCTGTTTATCAGACCACCACTCGCAATTGTTATGTCAGACGAGAAGCACAGCTATATCAGTGATATATTCAGCTGGACAACTTCTAACAGGAGGGATGTATATATTGAATATTTCGATTTCGACATCGTCTGACCAGAGAGCCATGCCCTGGTTGTATCCCTGGGATCGATGGCATGATACCGCACGGTGTTGTGTAACATGAAGAAGATCTGATCTACATTGACAGGTGCTCCCGTCTCATAAATTCGACTATCTCGTCGATCTGTCAATGAAATCCATGGCATTAAAATTGGAGCAGTCGTGTTTGGCTTGGTAGAACGTTCGTAATACGGGGGATGTGTGAGTGATATGTGGGTCTAGTAAGTTACTGTTGTAATGCGGGTCATGCTGCGGGCAGCCCAGCTGCGAGGTGTTGCTCCCTTGATGACCTTAGACTTATGTTACCTACTGACCTGAGCGAAATGTTGACAACTTTTGGCCGGATAAAATCCTGGTCAAGTTCAGGACGTAGAACCGGCTGCAGTGAATGTTTAATTGGTTATTGGTTATTGGTACATCAATATGAATGTATAAAATTATTGGGCTCCGTCTGTGCAGTTAGTATCCATACACCTGTCGAAACTGCAAAATCACCGGAATCCTCTAACGAAAGTTTGATCATGACCAGGACGCTGCAAACGTTTTCAACCAGTCTTTTGAGAAATGTGTATTTTTTCTATCGCCCATTACTCTTACTGAATTTAAGTTATAAATTATTGGTTATTCAGATTATAAGTCTTTAATTAAGCAAACACAATACATAAATTTCCTGGTGTGCCCTACATCCAAAAGTATTGAATCCTTAAACATTATAACGATGGTAAAAGTCAGCGCAAAGTCGCGGAAATGTTGAAATTGAGCCAAGGAACTGTGCAGCATATCATTGAACGCTATGTTCGTAAAAGTCGTGTGTTAAATAAAACTAAAACGGCTCATAATAAAATATTTAACGAAAGTGATTCCCGATGGATTGTTCGGAAAATACGCGAGACCCCCCACTAAAGTGCTCCAGCTTTAGGTAAAGAAGTGATAAAATATCTAGGAAGAAGCTGTACCCTAGAAACCATACTAAGAATCTTCAGAGAAGCTGATTTCAATGGTCGCACAGCTCGAAATAAACCATATATCAGTGCTAAAAATCAAAGTGCAAGGCAAAGAAGTATTTGTATAAAGAAGAAAGTTTCTGGGACACCGCAATTTTTGCGGACGAAAGTAAATTCATCTGTTTAGATCAAATGGAAAGAGCTATGTATGGAGAATACCAAATACTGCGTTACAATTGCGAAATTTAATAAGCATTGTAAATCATGGGGAAGGGCATGCAATCTGTATGGGGATGCATGTAATTTTTTGGAGTAGGAAATTTGGATTTCATCAATATTACTGTGGATAAGACTGTGTATTTGGACATTTTGAAAAGAAATTTGTTGCAAAGTGCCTAAAATTAAATATTCATGACAAGTTTCGGTACTATAAAGAATCATGCGTTGTGCAAATTTGGCTTATTTGGAACAGTCCACACAAGGTACAAGCCCCAGTGCAGTGTCCAGATTTTAATGTGATTAAGAATCTGCGGTCAGTTTTGGAATGAGAGATTCGAAAATATTAGATTTGAAATCAAGCCGACTTAAAAAAGCCCTACAAACAGGATGGAACAATATTTCTCATGACTACGCGAAGAAGTTAGAGAAATCCATTCCCAAATGAAAAAAGCAGTCAAAGGCAGCAAGGAGTATCCTACTAAATATTAATTAACATACAATTTTAGTTTTTTTCTTAAAAAAAAAATGAGATTTATTAATTTTTCTGTTACTGCATATTTTTCGCTGTGAGGTACAATTTAATAGTGAAGTTTGTTTTTGTTGTTAATCTTTGGCTTAAAATAAAATACTGAGTTACATACAGACCCAAGGAAACTCCTGATCTTATTGACTTTAGAGTTATCGAGGACGTAGATCGGAAGTTATCTGTTAAGACCAGTGCTGTTTTATCTTTCAATCACTCCGCAGTACTGATTAAAGTTATTAAAAGCAAATTGAATTTATTACAATGATAATTAATAATGAAATTTTTCCTTGTTAAGTGACTTTTACATCGCGAACGGCAAGCTTCACGATTTCCCTATTCAAAAAAAGAAAAGAATATGAAACAAAACATCTTTGCTTCCCAACACTTCCACGAAAAATCACTTCGGAATGCAAGAAAATACATAAGTAACCAGTAAATATTGAAGCACCGTTGAGATCGAACAACGATTCTTGTGCCAGAATACAAAAAGAAAATGCAATTTGTTGCACAGAACACCCCATATGAATCCTGCTTCAAATACATAATTTCTTCCATTTCTGAGCTGAAATACAAAATCAAATACAATATAAAGATGCTAAACCGACTACCTAGCCTTGCTATCGTTTTGCTTGCAGCAAATATGGATAAAGTCAACGATAATTATAATAGTAATCCAGGTAAAGACCCAACCCTGCCGTTATCATATAGGCCAATCGGGCTGTTACCTTGGATTTCTATACTATTCGAAAAAGTGTTACTATCGAAATTGATTTGCAATCATTTCAAAAATTCGAACTCCAGTTATTCTTAGAGTTGCAGTTCCTAGGAAACTATTTGAAAGACAGATATTATTATGCGAACAGCTTTTTATAATTTAACATTATTTTAAAGTGCAATTTAAAGTTAATATCTTTAATAATAGCATGGCTGACATGTAACAATTAACAGGAACTATTCTTATTGAAGTACCATTGCACGCCCACCACTGTTTTATACATAAATTTACTCGTATGCTTTAAAGATAACACAAACAGGAGTGTTACTCTCGCTGCGGTACAAGCGAAAGCGCTACGCGACAAGAGATATCCACGAAGCAATTCAAACAGACGCGACGCGGTACAAAGGGGTTTTTTTAGATGTGTAACTTTCCATGAGGCAAAACTTTTCTCGGAATTTCGACAGAAGGTAATTTATTTATACTCAGTTTGGTTTGGCATTTCATAACGATTGGTTTTACTCCGGAATAAGTTTGAAAATGGTGCAAATTTATTACCAAAATGATTCCGTTCGCGCGACACATCACACGCTGCGTTCAATATTTAAGGTTGATATACACAATTGTCGCATATGGAGGGAAGGTAATTCAAAAAACATTGTTGAGACGCCGTTGGCGCTGCATGCCACACCGCCAACAAAACATTCAATGTTTAATTTGTCGGTTCGTGGGCCTCCAAGACCGTGTGATTAAATACCGCTAGACTTTTTTTTGTGAAGTTATGTGAAGTCGCTCCTCTATCCAGATAATTCTGAGACGATTGACGTTTTGAAAGAAAATATTTGGCACATTATAACCATTTCACTGCTATAATCGAATGATTTTGCCGCATTACCACTATATTCCCAAAACTGTTTTTTCGTTCCTAATGGATAATTTCTGTAGTAAAAGGAGGAACATATATCAAATTTATGTTAATTAATGTGTTAGAAAGAGTTTTCGTAAACACATTAATTCAGATATGGTCATTTAATTTTTCAATTTTCAGACGCTAAGAGGTGAGATGGGATATTCTACAATATTTATCAATAAAATATTTCAGATATTAACATAATTATTTATTAAAGGTTGAAGTAAAATGTGCCGGCGCAGATTCAAAGCACCGAAAAACTCAGAAATAAGGAAAGTTTGCGTTGTAGTTTTATTTATGAGTAACATCAAATTAATAATATTATATAATTGTTTATTTAATACAGGTTCGTTTGAATGTATTTCCTTTTTTACATTTATTAATATTAAAATCAATCAGTTTCTCAAATATCTCTACTTATACATACTAAAAGAATTTATAACAGGAAGTTTCATGCTTCTTAATTTCTTCTATTGTTTCTACACGTTTCTCTAAATATTCACCTTAAACAACGAAAAAAACAAGGTCAGTAATTTAAACTTCTTTCTTTATTTGCAGAAAAATATCAAAAACGAACAACAACAATAAACCATTAAAGCCGATTTTGTCGTTAGACCACGGTTATAAGCAACGTCACCATTTTCAGCGGCAACACAGTCACCGAAACGCCAGCTACAAGTGCGCTAACAGCAACGAACAGCAAAAGTACTACGGCTGCTAGTGCCACTTCCAATACAAAAACAGCTGCAACATTATCTTCCACTGCTGCAGTAGCGGGTGCGCAACAATGAATTATACCATTTGTGTACACCAAACGTACTACAGCAACAGCAGCGGCAGCGCCTGGACCGGGAACTACTGCAACTACAGTGACAACTGCCGATATAACGCCTGGTGTTAACGCCAGCGACAGCGTCTCACCGCTGAGTTTGAATGACTGCAGCAGTTATCAGACGCTCATCTTACCAATGACGATCGATAATCAATAGCATCGTCTGAGCTTTCCCAATAAAAGGGAGGTACATGCAGCACTTATGGCGGCACAGCAGCAGCATCAACAGGAGCAATCTTTAAATGGCGCTACAACAAAGGCCACGGCCACAACAGCGTTGTTAAATGATGGCATTGGTACGAATAATGTCGGCAGCAATGCCTTAAATGCGAATTTAACACCGGCATCTTCGGTGGCGGCAAATCATACGAATACAGCAATTGGTTCAGGTAGGTAGAAAGAACTTATATGTAAAATGGTAATAGAAAGTAGATAGATAAATCTAAAATGTAAAGTGGTGGGTCTTTATATTTTTTTTTGTAATATTTTGAAATGTAGTCAAAAAGGCAGAAAGAATTCATTTAATCTACTTCTATTAAGGCGAATTCAGAAAGGTGTAATCAGGAGAACATACAACAATTACCCTGTATTTTGTTTATGTTTTCAATGTAATAATTGTCTAATTCATGACAAGTTCATATTGTACAATTCGTCTTTGTCAAATTGAATTAAAAATTTAAAACAAGTCAGAGAAAAAGAAAAAATAAAATTCAAAATTGATTTCGTTAGTTTGAAAATCAAAGTTTGCTAATTCAAATGACATTAATAACAGTAAAGTAGTTTTATTTTATGTATTTGGAAGGAAATTTCGTAAGTCTTGGCAAAGAAGGTATATTAATAAACGTTATTTGGCAGTGGCTATAATAGCTCCCACCGGCCGTTAAATTCATTTTAGCTTAAATGTATTTAAACATCGCATTTAAGTGCGCTAATTCCCATGTGTTTGTTGTTGTATCGGTAATTTAGCAGAAAATGTTATGTTAACAGTCGTTGCTGTCACTACTAATGTAATCATTTCGGAAGTTTCGGAATATTTCTTGCCAGAGTCGTGTATTTTCGGTTTTAATGAGGGGTGAGACTTTTATTTTGTATTTTGAAACTTAGTCTGCAAAAGTTATTTCTTTGTATTAGTTTTGACATAAACACATATATTAAGTAATTGGCGAAGATAATACTTCCTCCTCTTTCAAAAATTGCAATGTGAAACAAACATAAAACAATTGTGGAATTTCAAACGATCCCCTCAATATAAAAATATGGGTGGCTGTGGCAGCTATCAGCTGATTTCGCAAACTAAATAATTTGAAGGAACAAACAAGCAAATGTGAAAATGGAAAGATGTATAAAAGCATTTTCGTTTTAGCGACGATTGTCCGTGCAGAAATAATTTGCACTCGCAAATCATAAGATTGCATAAATAGCCAAATAAATTGCATGCGGTCTCTTGAATTCATGATTTCAATAGTTGTGGCAAATTTTGTAAACTGCAATTGTAAAAAAAAATCAGCTGCTTGAGTTAACTCACTTTCGGTGGAAACGTTTGACATTTAATTCACTTAACAGAGGCCTTAAATTCATTTAAGTGTTTGGTGGAAATAGGCTAGAAGTTCTTGTAACGCCGCGCAGACAGTTGTACATTATATAAGTAATTATAATTATTACTTATTCAATGTTAACATTGGAAGAATATGTTATATTTCCACCATATTATAAGCGTAATTTTCTTTTAAAAAAATTGTATGTGCATACTAAACCCCTTTTCTGAAGAACCCAGAAAGATGTAGATCCTTCATCTTGTAAAGCTTGGAAAGATTATCCATCTCCCCGTTCTACATATGTACAAATAAAATACAACGGATTGCTTAGACAATCTCTTCAAACAGGAACGAATGGGGAAAAAGCCCTAGATTAAGGAGTTATACCCATCGTAATACACGGTTCAAAGCTCGTTGAAAAAGCGTGCTCTAAATAATGAGATGAACATTCCAGCGTCTTGCAAAGCAGAACTCTTTGCAATCATGGAATCCACCGCGTATCGTCCCAACTGAGACTATCAGTTACGAAATATTCCGATAGTTAAACAGTTAAACAGTCATCAGATCTCTAGTACAACATCAAATTGGGTTTAAAAAGAAGCAATCTGAACAAACTCTTGGCTAAAAGCAATACTGTCGTGATCTGGCTACCCAGACGCAGGAACATTTCAACCATATCATATACAGAATGAAGGTTTACCTTCGCCACGACAAAGAATATTCTAAGTAAAATATAAACATGTAATCCTTCTTGACCAGTCATTCATTACCAAAATGACGCGTGCAATAACAGATAACCGTTCGATGGAGCTTCATGGGAAAAAGGATATTACTCCAATAATTTGGCCGCTTAGAAATAATCCATTGATCGCTACCACTTCTTTTACTGTCTCACTACAGAGGAAGAATTGGTAATCTCCTTGCTTTTAATTCACACACAAAACGGTTCGAGCATTTGAGCCGAACTCTACTCAACAACGGTCAATATTTTTTATTTGAAAAAAAAAAAAAAAATTTAATTTGTAAATTTTTACTTTTCAAACTCAAATTAAATGCAAAATGTAAATAAACATATAAAACATAAACAAACATTTTGACAGCCTTTACACTGAAGCAAAATAATTAAATAAAAAATGTTGAATTCGCTGCTCTTGTAACTCCACCTTGCTAAATTCTCATTGACTTCTATGAAGAATCAATTAACATATTTTGTTAAGATCGCTCCGATTTAGAATTTAGAAGGGTACTACTTACATGTAAGCCCAGAAAAATACGAAGATTTTGCTCGTACACATTTTCTCCAGCTTTCCGAGTATTCAAATTCTCTGTTGAATTTAATTAAAAACTGAGCCACAGATATGTCCCGAGCCTTCAACACAAGACTATTTTATGAAGGTATGGATTCTCTGTCCATAGAATACCAGAAAAATGAAAGTGGATATAAGCCTGATTTTCCAGGTTTAAACATGATTTTAATACATAAGGCTAATCTAGTCGCAATTCTTTGGAAAGTCTTACTAAGTTTTACATTTTTTTATGTTGAGACGAGCTTCGTCTCTTATTTGGAGGGGTTGATATTCTTTATTGAGGGGTAACAACATATAGAAAAAAGATTTTCTATAATTTAAAACGATTCCTTGACCCTCCGCATAGTATCACATATGTACATATGAATATATGTACTTGCATACATATCGTATGGGGGCTTAGTTATGTTAAAAATTACATAATTACATAATTTTTAACATTAAACCATTTGTATGGTTATTTTACCTTAGACGGCTCTGATAAAATAACCAAACAAACGCTTTTTGTTAAGATTTTCCAAACAAATATTTTAACATAGCTTAGCAGAGATTTTCTGATAACTATTAATATTAACATAATGCCTGACAGAATGTTAAAAATTCATACGGCAGCTTACATTACATGCATTTTGGACATAATCAAATTTTTTAACTAACAATACATAAATACTAAAAATTGGAGCCATAAATCATGAGGAACTCCAAACTTTAACGTTAGTCTTTTAACTACATATGTCAAAAATTGTATAATCGTGTAAAGTTTCTATTAAAGCCTTCTTTCTTTAAAATAGATATTTGTTTTATTACAACAGATGGACGTCGTGAAAATAATGGGTCAAATACTGGAATTTATTTTGCGTTGCAACTGATTCTTATCAAAAGAAAAAATAGATGGTGGAAGGGCTATAGATATTTAAGCTATTATATAGTTAGTGTTAATAAAATATAAATTGTGTTAAGGATTTGACCATCGAATATATTAAATATTGTGTAATGCTATGCCTATAATGTTCATATGTAAATTTAGCGAAAAAGTAATGAAAATTACTTGTAAATGCAAAATTGTATATATATATCTAAACATTAAAGCATATTTTGTTATATTTATAAATATTTAATATTCATGCATTGTATATACATATGAATGTATTTGAATATATATAAATATTACAATACAAGATTTTTAAAAATGTTAATTATTAATGCGAAAAATTTTATGATTGTGAAAGTATATATATACATATAATATATATATGTATTTGTAAAACTTTAAAATATGCCATTATTGTTTCTATATGTTATATAGGCTTATAAATAAATTAAAAAAGAAATACATTAATATATGCAATTGGTATCCGAAACCACACCACATATATTGTACAATTAGAGCAGAAAATGAGAAAAATGAAAATGAGACTGAGGGAATAAGATAATCACACCCACATGCGGCGAAGAGGAGAAATGGTTAAAAAAGTTCCCGATGCAAGAATCAAGGTAACGTATCTGCTACCAAATGCCTAAGTGAAAGGAAATCGATACATCATACATATGTGAAATTACTTTTTCCCGTCTGGTATGGTAACGGCCCAAATTGCTGCGAGAAGTGGCCGGAAACGTGGCACCTGGGCTAGAATTTATTCGAGCCAGGTGAAGCTATTGCTTTTGATGGAAATCATTTTTACAGCAATGGAAAACCCTTATATTTATATACATATATTGTAGTATTCCACGCTCATAGAACTTCTGGCTTTATCTGCAAAAAACTGAACCAAGTGCGATTTTATAGCCTCATCATTGCCGAAAGTTTTACCATTTAAGGAGTTCTGCAAAGATCGAAATAAATGGTAGTCTGATGGCGCAAGGTCAGGGCAATATGGTGGATACATCAAAAGTTCCCAGCCAAGCTCACTCAGTTTTTGCCGAGTGACCAAAGATGTGTGCGGTCTAGCGTTGTCCTGGTGGAATATGACACCTTTACGATTGACCAATTCTGGGCGCTTCTCCTTGATGGCTGTATTCAATTTGTCCAATTGTTGACAGTAAACATCCGAATTAATCGTTTGGTTCCTTGGAAGCAGCTCAAAATATACGACACCATTCCAATCCCACCAAACAGACAGCATAACCTTCTTTTGGTGGATATCAGCCTTTGAAGTGGTTTGAGCTGGTTCACCATGCTTGGACCATGATCGTTTTCGACTAACGTTGTTGTAAACAATCCATTTTTCATCTCCAGTTATGATTCGTTTTAAAAACGGATCGAATTCATTGCGTTTAAGGTGCATATCACAAGCGTTGATTCGGTGTGTTAAATGAATTTCTTTCAATACATGTGGCACCCAAATATGAAGCTTTTTCACCAGTCCAAGACTTTTTATGTGATAATGAACGGTTGAGTTTGGTATATTTAACTTCTCTCCTATCTCACGCTCAGTAACATGACGATCCAATTCAATTAATGCTTTGATTTGGTCATCATCAACTTCATTTGGCCGACCTGAACGTGGCTCATCTTTAAGTGAAAAATCTCCAGAACGGAATTTGCGAAACCAATTTTGACACTGTCTTCCTTTTAAGGCTTCAATACAATAGAGCTAATGATTGGCCATAGCTTTAAATTATATGTGTTTTATTTCTTTTTGAAAAAAACATGACTAAAAAATTTACTGAATTTAGTTGAAATACACCTACATCTGCTGAATATAACATGCATATACATATGTATATGCATTATATTTACGAAAAAATGAGTACCACGTCAGTTTGAGCGCTTCCATAAAGATTTCTACGGCCTCTGTAATACCGCGCCTTTTTGAGTGGTGCTTACTGTTGTAACTTTGAATTAGATTTTTATTATGTGTGATATTATAAATAATAAATATTAAACTTACGTTATTTTCGATGTGATGAATAAGGCCTTCACAGTCTTTGAATTTCAAATTGTATTTTTCCCAATTATTTTCCACTGAAATCAAGTGCAGTGATATATTTTCTATACGTCTGATGAGCTCTGTGGTCTGTAACTATGAATATGAAAAATACATATTTTAAATGGCTAGTATTGGTTTAAGAAATAGTTGGTTTGTTTTCAGAATATTTGTATATATGAATAAATTTGCAAAGTGGGAATTTTTGTTTATAAAATAATACATTAATTTAAAAATATAAGACTGGGTCCCTTAAATGTGACTGCACTGATGAGAAAACGCAGGGGTTCACAAACTTTGTAGAAGAACAAGATGAAAATTTGCACATTGCTGAAATGTGATATGTTTTGTAGCTCGGTTTTGATTCAAAAAGATTCAACAAATTTTCTCATATAATACTTAGAAGAATGCGCGCCGCAACAGGTCTACCACTTGCAAACACAACAAAAGTAAATTTCACGCACTGATAATAATGTTAGAAAAACCACTATATAAAAATCATAACAAATATTTGTCGTATATCTAATACACTTCCTTCGGTTTTAGCTCGTGGACCGAAAATTTATAAAGATGTAAATGCTTGGAGCAACATAAATTCGATGTATATTAATCAAAAATAATAAGTTATTGATTCTTCTTATTTTCTACTTAAATAAGCAGTTAGCTAGTCGTGCCAAAAACAACATTTGACAGCAATAGAGATGCAAAGTACAGCCAAATCCTTCTCCAGCTGAGCTTGGTCTTCGTTAGTCAAGAGAGGACTTTAATTTTAAATTGATTCCAAAGCTGTGAACGTGGGACGTGAGAGCTGAATTGCGAATGTGATGAAGGAGGTCACTCGCTGGAAACACGTGCATTAGAGGAAAAAATTAGCAGAATTTTTTTTTATTTAAAATACATTAGGTTATCAGATAAGTTTTATCGTGGTAAAATCGAATCACGCGTTCCTGAAATATAACCATTCAAAGTTGAGCAATCTCGAGTTGAATTTTTTGTGTTTGAAAATTACTCAATTAGTGGCTGTATAAAAATGTCTGTAGAAAAGATCATATTAACGGTATAACTTACATTGTGAAGTTAAGCATAATTCAAAATATATAAAATAAAAATAGCAGTTTCTTTTTAAGTCTGGGAAGTTAAATATGTGTTTGAAATGCTATGTACCATTCATGAATATATTAAATCTTATGTATTGCATTATATTTTTACGAATTCAACGACCTAATAAAACGACATCTGCCAACCAAGTTTGGTTTAAGAATCTTCCAAACTATGTGACAAGTTTACGGATGATACGGTAAAACGGATGGAAAGGCAGAAAGACAGTATACATTTCACTGGGTCTCCTTCTTAACATAAAACGCATACAAAAGAAAAAGTTAATCGGTAAGCTTTACTAAAAACTAAAAGAAATTTTGTTTCCGGTTTTATAAAGATTTTCAAAAATAAAAAGATCTTCTTTATTGCCTAATTTGCTTAATTTAAATTACCATATAAATGTTTTCATACGGTAAGGTCTATGAAGTTTGTGGTATTTGATATGTATAATATAATATATAATAATAAGAAATGAGAAAACGAATTAAGAAGATGCGTCAGAAATGTTAATTTCCTACTGTATGGAAGAGTAAATATACAAATTTTTATATTAGACCGTAAGGTCATCGGGTCATCGGGGACGCTTTCGTCTAACCATATCCTGATCTTTACCACCATATTTGAAGTGATCGACCCGCAATATATGGGCGCCCGCCGCTTTGTTGTTTAATTTTTAGGTGGAAAATTATTTTTCGGGCTTTTTCTTAGTCGGGTATTGAAACCATCGATTGAGGCTTCGAGCTTTGTATCTGTTTGCTTTACATTCACTGTCATGCAATAGCCCGGAAAAGCGTTCGCTCTATAGGTTCAGTTGCAAACCCACCTCTCTGAATCTTATAAGAGCGTGCTCTGGTCTTGAGCCCTTCTGTATATCACCACATCTTTTTGAGTTTTACCCCCATCGGCCAGCTTCTCAAGCTATTCATAATCACGAATTGCAGACAACTATATTTCAGGCCACTGCAAACTCGATTAACCTCAACCCATTGGGTACAAGTACCTACTACTTCCCGTCCATCGCAATCTTTCAACGCTGTCGATATCTGCTCTTTAGAGGACGTCATCCAGTAGGTCAGTGCCACGATTCCATCTATACTACAGCCTGAATCTGAGTCAAAAGTCACAAAATCGATGTTTTTCGGATCTCCAGCAAAACATTAATCATAAAATCTGTAGATCTGTAGACAAATCTTATAGATCGCATATTTCGCTAATAAATGTCTAAATTCATTTTTCCGAAGAGCAAGTGTTTTTGCGGTGAATGACTGACGGACCAACGTATAGCCTAAACTACTTACTGTTGAAACTTATAGCGTGTGTTCTAAAGAAGACGTCTACCAAACGGATTTTTCTATATCGTACCTGAGGGTAGGGATTCAACAGCGTAAAGGAACAACGACTGTGCGCGACGAACTCCCCTGGTCCATTTTCCGGATAAAAAATAAATTTCGCTGAACCGGTGGATATTTTTTCAGAAATCGGACCGATGAGCACTTTTAGAGATTCAATCTACCAACTTTTTCGGGCTAAGTTAGCTAAAACAAAAACTGTCAGAGAAAAATTGATTTTAACACAGTTCACCAGTGTTATTATAGAAATTGCATACCGTTAATAATAAATGCGATGGCTTGGTATGATTTCTAAGTTCAGAAGACCCACGATTGACACAAGAAATGATTGATATTGAATTGGGCTTGAATTCCATGGCTGTATCGAGAACATTAAGTAATCATCTAGAATACACGAAGAAATCTGCTCGATGGGTGCCATGAATTTTTAATGGGGTCCAAAAAGAAGCTTGAGTGCATTTTGCTTAATTTTTCCTAAATAAATTCGAAAATGGTCAGTCTTGCAACTTTAGTAAAATCGTTACTGATGATGAATCATGGTATATAGACCAACAGGGGCAAGTCCACCCGTAAAATCTCACCAACAAAAATCAGCAGCAAAAGTAATGGTATCAGTTTGCTTCAACCGATCTAAAATCGATTCGCGGCGCTACCATCCCACACTGCTGAAATAACGGGTGAGAAGTACGTCCAGAGTGATTTCTGGTTATTTCCAAAAATTTAAAAGAAAAAGTCATTAATAGCAACGAGAAGGTAATTAATGCGGTTAATGCTGAACTTAATAAGCTTATAATGCAAGATTTTGAAGACCTTTTTCCGCAAATTGATCAATATGCTTAGGAAATGTATTGGAATCAATGACGATTGTATCAATTTAAGCTGGATTCTTTAAATTTTATATGTAATATTTTGGCGCCCTCAATTGCCGAGTGATTGACATTGCATACTGCTATTCGGAAGGCCAGGAGCCGAGTTCTTGTTCGACCAACATCCAAAATTAATTTTTCGAATTATATAATTAATATAATCCAATTAGGTTCAAGAACGCTACTTTAACCAGCTTTGATTGATAACTCCTCAGTGACAACTTTTTTATGGTAAATTGCCGGTTAGACAGATATGACTCAAATACATTGTAGTAGTGTATAGGTAAAGCTTTATAAATTCCTATGTAAAGAAATAATGCGAAAACCTACTTTATTTCATTAGTGATTCGGTTGAAGTGCTCTTCTTTTCTTTCTGTTTCACGAAAACCGAATTGGTGGTGAATTTGCTATGAAAAAAAGAAAAAACGAATTAAAGAAAAGGCGACTTAAATAGCAGAATTCTTTCGATTAATTTGGAGAGATTAAGGGGATCAGAGAGTAGTGCAAATCTTGATAGCTTATTTGGAAGATTTTGATGTTATTAGGTCAAAGCTTCGAGATCTCTTTCGGCCCAATCGCTAAAACGCATTTACATCTTAGCGGATTGAAGTTTTAATCGTAACCTGCGTTTCATGACCGTTCTCGATAAACTCTGGCAAAATAAAATTATTAATTGCATACTTCGGCTTGAATACCTCGCTAAAATGTTTTGCAAAACAATTTGTATTTTCTTCATTACCATTTTTGCTCCTGATTGGCAAGCGCACATCAACTGATAGATTAAAGTTCTTATGCGCCTTTGGAGTGGAAATTTTTTGGTAGCATTTGATGTAGTTTTCTCTATATATGTTTTAATTTTGCGGTCTTCTGCTTTTTTCAGAGCACTTTGCAGTGGTGGGACTTTCTATTGTACCAAACGGTTTTCGGATCGTTAAAAGGACTTAGCGATCATTTTAAAGGAGCTATTCAACAAATTGGTAACAAAACGAAGAATAATTTGAAGTAAATATCAAAAGGAAATAATAAACCAAAAATGGCTTTTTAGTATTTGGCATACGTTTTATCCCAAGATAACAAACTAAAAAGCAGAAGAGTAACTGCAGAATAATGTTATTTTTTCAGTTTAAACACTATTAATATGCTGAAAAGTTCTAACCACCGTACATTCTTTGCAACTGGATGCTATCAACGTCTCTTTGGAGAACATTCCCGATTGTCCATGAGCCGCCCGGAAGCCATTGTAACCATCGCGTAACAGATTGCACTCATACATATATCAATCATGAAGAAGCATATTTCAACCACCATGGACACCATTCATCAATTTGCAAATAGCGCGAGTAATTTGTAATTGTTATTGTAGTAATATAGTCTATTATTTTTGTATATTAATATGTGATCCCTATCTCAAGATTTTGGCGGTAATAGCAAAATACCCAGAAGTGCGACACGATTCTTTTCGTTGAAGCTTTTCTATCGTACGAAAAGTCATTTAGCGCAGTAAGCCATAAAATTTTCTTTCTGCTTTTCACATATTTTGTGGGTGAGGGAGAATGTGAAATGTATTCAAGTTGAGCTCTAGTCTTGTTACAAAAACTTGTTGTGCTTACCCAAGGAGCATGGATGGGAAGACGCAAACAGATCAGATAACAAGATATCTGACCTGGACCATTAGAAGGTAAATTCTATTGCAAACAATTACTACTTTTGCCGTATCACATCGCTGATCATTTGAGAATTTCATTCTTGCATATATGCATGAATGCAAAATAATTCATTTATA